CCCTTCCAACCCTGATATATTCTATGATTCTATGATGATTCTAAAGCTTTTTTAAAGCCTCAAAAATGGGACTATGTGAATTTTCTCCCTCTCTGCTTGGATGGCACTGACCTACATGGGACGGACCCTGCTAGTCATTCTTCAAAAATACAATCATTAATATCAACTTCCCCTTACTTCCATTTTTATACATGGGTTTTTTTTTCTTCATTTTTTATAGCTGCCTTCACTTCTATACACTCTCCGTGGTGTGTAATGGAGACCCGGCTGGCTTGGTCTGTATTAGCATAGCTTTCTGAAGATGGATACCAGGTTTAGCATGACCTGAGGGAAGTTTGGCAAGTTTGGCAAGTGGCTTAGTCGGGCTGTTCGCATGTAGGAGGTGATCGATTCCAAAAGTTGATTCCCATGAGTTTGTCCACTCTTTTTGACAGGAGAAGCATTGCCAACCACAAGCATTCAGAAATCGTGAGTCTGGCCCTTCCACTCAATGAGATTAAAAAATAATACATTTTGAGTTCTTTTCACTTGCCTTCTGTTTTTGTGCCTTTAGCGTACATGTCTCCAACTTTTCTCTGCTACTGTAAAAACGAGAAATGTTTTGGGGTTTTTTACGTTGATTCTCATGTGATTCCAGGAGCCAGACCTTAAGTGTGAATAATGTTACTGTCATGAGAAGTAGCAACCCTGAGATGGGGTTAAACCGGAAATAATTGTGCTGTATAAGCCACTTGGCTGCATCTCTGATTTCCATCAGTGTTGACGGAAGTGCCATCTGGCTTGAATGGAAGTAGCCCAGGCTTATTGTAATGAGTGACTTCAAGGTCCATGCAGTTGCGTCTTCTGGGTTAACCCAGGATTTTATGGCTGCCATGAAAGCCATAGGATTACTCCAGATTGCCTTCAGTCTGCACTCACATAAGTGGCCATACACTGGATTTTGGGGATGACAATTGTAGGGTAGGGTTACATCACCTCTCTCACTTTGAATTTGTGGCTGGTGGCACTAGTCCCTGCAAGGGAGGAGACTGGTGGCCCAGTGGCATGTTCACGTGTTGGGACAGGGAAAGTGTCAGTTTGTGCAGGGCCTAGCACAGTGCGGCTCAGATCCTGATTGAATCTTCTCAGCACTAGTGCAGTGCATATAACAGTGACAGATATCTCCAGGTCACTACTATTGTTACTGTCCTCTAGGCATTGTCTCCATGTGCTTCTCCTCACAGGTCACAAATAATCAACAGATTGAACACATGGGGCAGAGGTTAAAGCACCACTTGTGGTCACCACACTCAGCATTTTTTATTGCAATGCAAAGAGTTTAAGAAACCTTGTGACAAAGCTGCAGTGGACACCACGAGTTTTCTTTTCTACTAGAATCTCTCTGAAGTTCTGACCAGCTGGGAATCAGGCTAGAGTTTCCTGCTGCAGAGTTTTCTGTTTGCTTGTTCAGATCCAGATTGTAGTGGCAGGTTGTCATGGTGCACGTGTCTGTATTCTCTGTTTGAATTTTGGTCAGTTTCACTCGAAACATACATCTACACTGCAGCTGCAGTGTGATTTGCAGCTTGTATAGACAGATGCACGCTAGCTGTAACCTAGTCAGATCACTGAAAATAGAAATGAGGCAATGATCTTCAGTGTGGGTTGCACAAGCGAGTACATCTGCAGGGGGACGGGTGCTTGTACAGTCTGCACTGACGTTGGCGCGGCCACATCCTCACCTCCACAGTGGCTGAGATCGTCAACTTTGAATCACCAGCTTCTGCCCTGTTTGTACCCAAGGCCTTGTGCACTCTGCAACAAGTTGGGCTAAGTTAGACGGCGAGTCTCCTGGTTTGTGTGGCACTCAGGTGCAGCAAGTTGAAATTTCAGTAGCAGACCTGGGTGTGAAGTGTTCTGCGATGTGAACCCAGACTACTCCACACTCTTGGAGAGCCTGTTTTTCCCTGGAGCTGCTTTTACCAGGATTCAAGTGTCTGTTCAGGCTTTGGATCCAGCAGGGCCGATGATCTCAAAGCAGAAGGCTGTGTCCCCACCCAGGGGATCTTTCTGTGCTTGGGGCTCCTTTTGCACAGAATGTAAAACTTCTCCTGCCTTCTTATGCCTTCACCCACAGAGCAGAATAGACTAGCTGGAGCTCTTTGGTTAACATTGCTATTAATTATTTGTGTTGCGGTAATCCCTAGGGTCCTTGTCCATGGCTAGGGCTCTCGTGCAAGGCACTACAAGAAGAGAACACAAAGGCAGTCCTACTTCAAGGAGCAGGAGACTGTAAAGTAAATTCCTAGATTTGCCCCTTTGAGACATGGCATGTCCTCATCTCTACAGCCTACTTCCCTGTTCTGATAGAACCTGAGCCCAACTGTCAGCCCATCTACTACTTCAGGCTTGTGCTTGGGTGGTAAATGCGTGGGGAATATTTACATTGTCCCAGGGGAGAGTATTGGGACTGGCATCAGTCAGCATGTTCTGAATTTTGTTTGAAATTGCGTGAATGTGTGCAGAGTGCATTTTGGTAAATCTAACAATGTCAAGATCATTCCTGACCTGATTGGGAGCAGTGATCTGGCTGTGAAGACTTTCAAACAGACTGTGAATGTGATCTGCACATCCTGTTGAATCCGTGTTGCATGGCAGGTGAATTTAATACTTTAGCTTGTTCACTTATAAGTTAAAATCTTCCCCCTTTGTCTTTCTACAGGTGTCATGTAATCAGAGTTAGGTGGCAGCAGGAGTTGAAATGCATTCCAGTCACACAACTGAAAATGGACCTGACCCCAAGGTAGTAATACAGGTGAGTGAGTCCAGTTGATTTTCTCAGGGCCTGTCTGATGAGAGTTTTTGATTATGACGTAACTCAAGTTAACTGACTGACAGGTAACTGGAGATTACTAACATGACTGTAAGTGCTAGGCCAGCTCTACACTAGAAACTTTTGCCAATACAACAATGCAGATTAGGAGTGAGAGTCTTTCTTTTTTTTTTTAATGACATTTCAGTACAGGCAAAAGCCCTGCTCTAGACACAGACAAACAAGACAAATCAGTATAAACTGTACCGGCAACGGTTTTGGTTTTGTTTTGGTTTTGTTGCTGATATGAACGGTCTCCACTAGGAGGGGTTGCTGGCATTGCTATGTATAGTTGCCCTAGTCTAGGCTCTCAACAATCTACAAACATTGTTCCCAATGGCAGAGATGTGTGTCATGGAAAAAAAATATCTGTGGAGTGTCTAAACTAGCACGCCCAAGGATGTTAGTTAACACCAGTGAATTGGCAATTGGTTAACTTGAGCTATATCACAACCAAAAACTCTAGTGTAGTCAGGCTCTCAGATTGAAAGGCACTATACAGTGCGGAGATGATGTAAAGTGTTAGATTGGTGCCAAGGAACAATATTACGGAAATGTTAGTAGCTGGTGTATTTTTCTTTACACAACCTTTGGAATCTGTACATGTTTAGAAACAACATTTTAGTAAATTAGCTACAAGCATAAGGATTACAATGTTGTGCTTAATTTAGTCCTAGAACAGAATTAGACATATAGAATGTGTGTATAAAATATATATTATTTTATGGCAGTAATGCCCAAGGTGCCAATCAAGGACTAGGGCTCCTTGTGCTGGGTGTTGTACAGTCAGGCAGTGAAATGACAGTCCGTACCCCAAAGAACTCACGAGATAGGTACTTACAAGATGTGACAGAAGGATCA